CCTTTCTTGAAATAAAATAGAAAGATTTAACTTTTACGGTTGTGTTGTCTGGTCTTTTATGCCGCGGTTCAGTGGGTTTCAGAGAGGAATTAGAATCAAAATACTGCTGTATGGAAGTGAGGTGAAGATGGACTGAGGGATGCAGCCTTCTCTGGGAAGTGTGGGGGCTGGGGACAGAGGGCGCCTCTGGCCCCACTCCATACTCCCACAACCAAGCTCCGTGCCCAGGGCAGGATGTAATACCGCCAGGTTGAAATCCCAGCAAGGGGCATCAGCACCCCACAGCCCTAAGGCCCCAACCCTGGCTGCAGTCACCCCCACCAGCTAAAGAGACTCTCTTCTCCTTGGAAACAGCTAACAAAGCAGCTAACAAGGCCTCTTCCTATCCCCGGCGCCAGTCTGGTCAGGCCAAGCAGCCACGGAGACTCAGGGGTGCTGAGAGATGCAGTTCATGTTCCACACCCCCACCGATACCTTGGGTGCTGAGTCTGGATTTCCTGCTGGCTCTGACAGCCCCTGAGCTCCGACCCTGGGCATCTAAATCAGGGGAGGGGGGCTCCCCCGAGTCAGCTGCCCCTAGAGGGGCAAGCACAGAGCCCTGTGGAAAGCAGGAGGGAGCGGGTGGGGGAAACGTATGCGACAAAAGTGTAGGGGAACATGAGGAGTGAAGGAGCTGGCCCCAAATAGCGCTTGGGAGTGTTTGGAGAGAGGCTGCATTGTGTCAGGCACTGTACAGCACCCCCAATCTGTGATCAGAGGTTCCGGGCACTATACAGACCCCCTGGGCTGAGACTGGGGGGTACTGTACAGCCCCCCAGTTTGAGATGAGGGGCACCAGGTGTTGTACAGAGCCCTCAGACTGGGATTGTGGGGCGCCGGCCATGTACAGACCCCTCAGACTCAGATTGCGGGACCCCAGGCACTGTACAGACCCCCCAGGGTGAGATCAGGAGGCACCAAGCACTGTATAGACCCCCCCCCGGACAGAGATTGGGCAGTGCCCAATCAGCCCCCCAGGCTGAGATTGGGGGGTGCCAAATGCTAGACCCCTCTAGGCTGAGATCAGGGCTCTGGGTCAGCACAGATGCTGAACAGACCCCCCAGGCTAGGATCAGGCCCCTTGCTCTTACTTGGGGGGGGGGGGTGCATGGGCTTTCATTCATGCACGTGCACACACAATACCATCTGCTGGATTACATGCCCTGACAAAAGCCCCAATCCCAGCCTGGGGGGTCTGTACAGTGCCCAGAGTTCTGATCTCAGCCAGGGGGTGGGGGGTCTGTACAGTGTCTGGTGGCGCCCGATCTTGGCCTGGGCAGTCTCTACAGCACCCAAGGTCCCTTGATATTGGCCTGGGGAGCGAGGGCATCTGGGCAGCACCTAGTGCGATACAGCCCTGATCTTGACCTGTGTGGGGCAGAGCTGACTACAACCCCCCAGAACAGTGTGGACTCCATGGGGCATCATGGATACCTCTGAGCATCGGCTCCAAACCATATCCTCTCTCTGCCCCCCTGCCAGCCGCTGTGAAGCCCCCGGATCCCTGAGCCATCAGCTTCACTCCCCTTCCCAGGCAGAGACAAGCAAACCCCCAAGGCAGTGCTCAAGCTTCCCGTCTCGCTCCAGTGCCCGGCCCAGCCGCGTCTTCTCCAGCTGCTTTTGTCCTCCCGATTAGAAAGGTCTCTGTGATGGTGCTCTGCTCCTCTGGCAGGAACTGGCAGTAGAGCTGTGAGACTGACCAGAGTGTGGGGGTGACAGAGGGGGCTGAGAACTGGGTTAAGAGCGGGAGGGAGAACCAGCTGCTGTACAGACCCCCCAGGCCAATATCAGGGAGCACTGAGCACTGTGCAGAACCCCCAGGCCAAGACTGGGGGGTCCAGACACTGTATAAGACCACCCAGACTGGGAATGGGGTGTGCTGGACACTGTACAACACCCCCCAAGCCAGGACTGGGGGGTGCCGAGTGCTGTACAGACCCCCAAGGTCAGGATCAGGGGGTGTTGGGCACTGTACAAACTCCCCAGGCCGGGATCAGGGGGTGCCCAGCACTGCACAGCCCCCCAGGCCAGGATCGAGGGGTGCTGGGTGCTGTAAAATCCCCCCAAGCCAGAACTGGGGGGTGCTGGGTGCTGTACAGCCCCCCAGGCCAGGATCGGAGGGGGGTGCTGGGTGCTGTACAGACCCCCTACCCCAGGCCAGGATCGGGGGTGGTGCTTGGCACTGTACAGACTGCCCAAGCCAGGATCGGAGGGTGCTCAGCACTGCACAGACCCCCCTCCCCGAGGCCAAGATTGGGGGGTGCCAGGCACTGTAAAAATCCTCCAGGTTGAGATTGGGGAGCACCAGGTGCTGTACAGACCCCCAGGTTGAGATTGGGGGGCACCAGGTGCTGTATAGACCCCCCAGGCTAGAATCAGGAGGCACTGGGCTCTGCACAGACCCCCAGGCCAAGAGCAGCAGTTCCCACCCCCCACACCAACACACAGGCATTCAGTGCTCAGTGATGCGTTGCAGGCTCCTCATCAGGGATGCCAGCCCTGGGCTGGGGACGCAGGCTGCATGCTAACACTGCCCGGGGCTGTGGGGCCCTGACGGGGTGGGGGAGCTGCACACTGAACTGCAAGTCCAAAAGATGTGAGGGGGAGAGCCCAGGTGTCCGGGCTCCCACCCCCTGCACCATCTACCAGGCCCCACTCCAGTCCCAGATACGGGAGAGAACCCACCCTGCCCTAACCCCCAAGCCCCTCCTGGAGCTGGGAGAGAACCTAGGCATCCAGGCTCTCTCCACAAGTACATATCCCATGCACCTACCCCCCACCACACATGCATGCACACATCTTCATGCACATACACATGTATATACTCACATGCAGGTACACAAATGCACACAAGCATACACCCTCATGCACACATGTGCAGGCATACATATGTACACATATGAACAAACCCTCATGTATACCCATGCACACACCCACATGCACACGCATGTGCGCACACATTTGTGAACCCCATTACAACAAAGATTTCCTGCCCCCTACCAGCACACGGCCCCTGCCCCCCCCCCACCAAGCACATGGCACCTGTCCCCCCCTCGCCACCCAAAGGCACACAGCACGGATCACGCACCGCCAGGAGACACCCCCCCTACCCCGCACTGGTTCCAGTCATGTCACTTCACATGAGGATCCTGCACCCTTTTTGCATGGGGATTTTGCACAGGCAGTCATGCCTGCCCACCCCGCCTCTCCAGCTGGGGAAGCCCCCAGCTGCTCTATTCACAAGGTGAAGCCCCGACCTCCCACTGCAGCCATAAGAAGGGCCGGGGGGGGGGGATAAAAGCCACCTGTGACCCCCCAGCTGAAACAGGGAGGGCACTGCAGAGCTAATAGCTTTAATGAGGTTAATGCACTTCATTGGGCCCTTGGCCCAGACCCAGACCCAGACCCCCCTCTAGACTTACACTCCTCCCCTCCACAAACCAGCCCTCTCTACCCCAGACACCCTCTCCTGCTTCCAAAGGGGCAGGGTTGGGGACCCCCAGCTCCCCCAAATCAGCCACTGTGGGTGTAATGGCCCTGGCCTCTACCCCCATATGGTGCCCACCAAGAGAGATGGGCCTCGTTAGCAGCCCAAGCTCATTAGAACATTTATGCCGCTAATAAAAGGGTTGATTTATAAGGCATCAGATTAATAAGTGGATGGAGAATGACAAGAGCCTGGTGCCCTCTGCTGGCCTAGGCTGAAATAAGGGCCCAGTCACACCAGGCACTGTGCAGAGCCCCAGCCTCAGGCCAGGACTGGGGGCACTGGGAACTATACAGACCCCCCAGGCTGGGAATCAGAGGGGGGGAACGCCGGATACCATACAGCCCCCCAGGCTGGGATCAGGGGGTGCCAGGTGTTGTACAGACCCCTCAGGCTGAGATTAGGGTCCCCACACAGGCCCCCTTGATTCCACAACAGCAGGGGCTCAGCTAGACGTGGCGGGTCCTTCGAGGAAAGGATCAGGCCCCTATAGGTCAGCACAAAGCTGTGCTAGAATGTGGACCAGACGGTCCACTGTCCATCAGGGCTTCTACAGGCACCCAACCCACAGCCCCTATAGCACTCCAGGCCCAGGCTCAGTCCTAGACATGCAGTGGATGGGTGAATACCTGGACCCATAGGATACAAGCAACAGGACTACACATAGTACATATGGTGGGGTCTGACCCTACAGAAGAGCCGAAGCAGAGGGGAGGAAGGAAACTTCATGTAGATCAGCAGCATCCCTTATAGAGCAGCTGGGCTGAGCAACAATCCCCTGTAGAGCGGCTGAGATAAAGTCATGTGTCCTGTACAGCAGCTGGGACAAGGCAACAATCCCCTATAGAGTAGTGGGAGTGAAAAACAATTCCCTAAAGAACATCTGGGACAGGGCCACACCACACCACATCCCAGGGGGGATGAGCCACAACCCCCTATAGAGCACTAAGATGAGGCCTCATATCCTATAGAGCAGCTACCCCGAGGCAAATCCTATATAGGCAGTCAGTCCTGGAACCTATAGGAGCTGAACACTGGAAAAACCACATCGCCTATAGATCAGACTGGCTCGACTAAACTAGTAGTGAACAGATTCTATAGAGTATGAGCAGTGCCTAGACACATAGCAGATACTATAGGTACCCTATAGTTCTCTTCAGACACCAAGCCTACACACACCACAGATTCTACAGAACAAGACACAGGTCCCGCACGCAGGGCAGTGCACCCTATAGCTATACAGAAGCCAGGCCTTATAAATGAAGTGGTGCCCCTGTAGCCCATCAGAAGCAGCACAACAAGCCCTACAGGAGTCTGGGGAGGACAGGTGCCCCCGACAGGCTGCCCCCAGACCCAGCTGGCAGCCCTGCCCACCCTCCACCCCAGAGCTAAGGGAGGACTCCTTTGGGGCATCCCCACAGCCAAGCCATGCCACGCCACACCCTCCTTCCCCCCAGCACCGGGCGCCACCCACCAGCATTGACGATGGCATCAACCTCCAGCTTGGTGATGTCATGACGCAGCAACGAGATCTTCTCATTAAGGGCTGCATCCTTGGGGAACTTGGCCCCCTCAGGCTGCTTCACGCGGACATCTGGGGAGGTATGGGGTGGGGGGCGGGTGTCACTCCTGCCCTTGAGCCTCCCAGCCCTGCCAGTGACCCTCATGCCCAACCCGCAGCTCCCTGATGCCCCCAGCCCTGACTGTCCCCCTCGCTTCCAACCCGCAACCTCCCCCCACCTCTGCCAGTGCCCTTCACTCCCGACCTGTAGTCCCTTGCTCCCCCAGTGCCCCTCACTCCTAACCCATGCACCTGCCCACCGGTGCCCCTCGCTCCCAGCCTGCAGCCCCCTCCCCACCTGAGCTTTGGCTCCAAGCCCCCATTATCCCAGCCCTAGGAGTTAACCTTGGATAACACCTGCTTCTTCAACCTGTCCCCTCCCCCAAACCTGGCTTAATCTAAATTAAGTCTCCATGTGGACACTCACTCTTAGCCATCTTCTTCCAGGTGTCAATGCTCTTCAGAGGGAGAAAGTCCTTGGTGAAGTAATGCTCCCGCCGCTGCTTCTGGCTCAGGCCACTCAGATACTCTGCAAGGGGGAAGATGGGTAAACTGAGGCACAGAGCAGCAAACTAGTTGGGGAGTGGGGGGACAAGTCCCAGGCTCCAGGCCCCTCTGCTCTCACCCCCGCAGAGCTGGAGAGGACCCAGGTGTCCTGGCAGGGCCTGGCCGGTTTACTACTCCCCTGCCTGGCACTGCTCTCCTCCAAAATGACGGCTGTCACCTAGGGAACAAGCCCCCAGCTTGGCGCTGCCCAGGCCCACCCCACAGGGAAATGTCCTCAGTGTCCCCCAAGGGTCCCTTCAGGCCCCGTTGCCATAGTGACTAGTAGGCCCCGGACCTCATCCAGCCTCTGGGGTGGGTCGGTCCTAGGCCCCAGGCCTCGCTGGGCCTATTTCCATGGCAACCTCTAGCCACCCCCGCCCCACTTCCCTGGGCCTGACACCTAGGTCCAAGGCCTCACCGGGCTGTTTGCATAGCAACCAAGCCCCCACCACGCCTCCCTGGGATTCACACACATTTCCATGGTAACTACTAGGCCCGAGGCCTCACTGTGCCCTTTTCCATGACAACTTTTAGGCCCTGGGCCCCTCGCTGGGTGGCATGTAGGCTTTAGGCCTCACCAGGCCCCTTCCCATGGTGAGCTCTAGGCCCCAGGCCTCACTGGGCCCGTTTCCATGGCAACCTCTAGGCTCCACTGGGCAGCATGAAGACCCCAGGCCTCACTGGGCCCGTTTCCATGGTGACCTGTAGCCCTGCCCTCTGCCCCCCCGGGCTTTTTGGCACCCTCTAGGCCTCAGTGCCTCTAGGCACCCGCTAGGCCCAGCAGCACCAGGCGGGCACTCCCAGAATCCTTTGCACCACTAGCAGCTGCTGGCAAGCACCCACGGCTGCTCTCAGTGCAAAGGATTCTGGGAGTCCCGCCACCCCCTTGGCACAAACCCCAGCATTGCCAGAAGAGTCCTGCCACCCCCTTGGCATAAATCCCTAAACTTTGGCCTGGCCTGGAGACCCCCCACACTGTGCCTAGCAAAGGGACAAGGGCAGGGCATGGAGCTGGGCACACCTACAGCAGCCAGAGCGGGGCACAGGCCTGGGGGGAGCAGGGGGCTATGCCCAGTTGCCCCCCACCTCCCCAGGCACTTACTTTTTGCCTCTTTCCAGTCGGTGGAAGTGGTGAGGTCCACTTTGGCCGCCATGTGCAGTGGGGGGGCACCCGCCCAGGTCCGGAGCGCGCCCCGGGGTAGAGAGCAATTGCCCAAGTGAACTGCCCCCCTCCAAAGAGCCCCCAGCCCCCCGGGGCGCCCGACCCAGCCCCCCAGCACCTGCCCTGCCACTCTCAGGGCCCGAATGCCAAACAGAGCCACTGGACTGG